TTCGAGTTAGATCTCACAACTATGTCTATGGGTACACGTACAAATTATTTCATTGGAATGATATATGGTTGAAAAGAATTTGGAGAAAATGAGATACAAAGAATCTATATCAAATATGGGCTAAGTGCTATAATTTTTGAATCACGTTTGTCATCAGAAGAATTAAAACTTATTTTTCGGTGCTAAAAGCTACAAGCCCGTGGCACTGAAAACTTTAAAATGTAGGACTAGCGTTATAAACTCCAGACCGATAGGTCAGTTTGGTCTGAGAATTGAAGAATTGGTCCATTGTCCGGTCTAGGGCTGTAAGCAAAAATCGAAAAACGGAACCGAAATCGCATTTTAGAAACCGTTGGTTTGGTGCCACGTGGACCTGGTCAACGAAATGGTTTTGACCCAAAGCAAATTGGTCAAAATTGTTCGGTTTAGGTTTGAGAATTTTAATTGCGATTTAAAACCAAATCGGACCGGCGAAAAATATATAAAAATAAAAAAATGAAGAAATGATTTTTTTTTGGAAATTCATCCAAATATGTAAAATTCAATATTTTTGTCAATTTCTAATTTTTTTAATACAGATATATTATTATTATTATCATCATCATCATCCAATAATCCTAATATATATCTAATAATCTCAAAACTAACATAATCTATCAAAAGTCATTTTCCTCTTCAGAATTTAGATAAACTTCAGCCGACATCCAACACAGTCTTGAGCCACCGGCAGCACACACTTCTTTTTCAGATTTTTCACACCTCTTCAAAGTTGAATAGTAGTCTATTATACCAAATCAGAGACAAAAAGATCCTAAACATTCGGTGATAATATTTGCTACGAATAAAGTTTCAGATCAATAATTTTTTTGGAACAAACTAAAGTGAAAATCTGAAATTAAATGCATTTCGTAACATCATACAAACGTAAATTTGTGTAATTGTTATGTTTAGATATTGTAAACAATTGCTTTATTATTGTGGTTGGTTATTCTCTTTCTCTAATCAGTATCTTTTTTCAGTTATGATGATCACGAGATCTTATTGGACATCATTATATTTTTTGGCCCTTATATCTAATTTAATAGACTTGTATTGTAACGTTATTATATCGTCATTAGCCTAAAAAAGATTAACAAAAATGGAAAAAAAAAAAACTATGTTTTAGTTTATTGTAATTTTTCTTTGATTTAATTGATATTTAAATTTATAGTAGATATATTTAGCATCTGTTTGAACCATATTTTCCATATCATCATAAAGAGAAAATGGATCGTTGGAGAGGATGTTGGATCCCACACATGAAATAGCAGGTCAACAAAGGCGGCTGGACTTGTTGGATAATGGTCCAAATTTTCATTTTTTTGTTCTAAAAATTTGGTTCAAACAGGGTTTAGTTTGTTTTAAATTTATTGCTAGTAAAATATAAATATATAATGAATTTATTGCTAGTAAAATATATAATGAATTTAATGAATTAATGACATAAAAGTAGATAGAAAAAAATATATGACGAAACCGGACCAAACCGTTAGGTTTAGATTTGAATTTTTTTCAAACCGTTCAAAATGGTTTGGTTTAGATTTAGATTTTTTTCAAACCGGTTTAAACGGTTTGGTTTGAAAATCTGTCAAAAATTGGTAAAATCGAACCGCTTACACCCCTAGTCCGGTCCCAATGACTCCTTCAATTTACCGTGTAATTTAAACCATTATAAACCCACTTTGAAGTGCCCAATTTTAAGTGAACCTGGAGTGCTATTGAAATAAATAGAAACGATTAGAATAATGCTCAAATTATTTTTGAGTGTCATGTTTGATATTTAGTATGTGATATATTTGATTCTAGAAGAATATGATTAAGCGTTGATTCACTCAATAAAATTAATATTGTGTTATATTAATTTTTTTTCAAAAACGTTATATCTTAGAAAGCAAATGTTTGTTTGATCCTATTAACACCAATGTAGGAGACAAAATTCGTTTTAAGGAGATTTGCATCCACATATTTCGTTTCATTTCATCTCATTCGAATTTCTACATTTCACCAAGTCGAAATTTGCGCGCATATCTTGATTTCAAGGGAAATACGTGAAAATAGCTTAAACAAAAGGGCTACTTTTCCATTTTAGCCTTTAACTAAGTCAACTACCTAAAATACCCTTATATAAATGTTATACATTAGTCTTTATTTTATAGAAACTTTCCATTCAAATCCTTAAAAAAATTTAAAGAATTTCGCCTCTAATTAAAGAGTTAAAGATTTTAGTAGATTTATAGATTTATTTGATTTTGTTTGCTCAAAGTAGCACCCCTAATTGGTATCAGAGCCATAGATATCATGAAAATTAAAATAAGTAAAATAAAGAATTGACATTTAGAAGAAGAAAAAGGAAGTTATATATTTTTAGAAACTATTCCTAATAAATTAAAAATAATGACATTAACAATAATTAAAGAATTACCCAAATAAATAAAAGAACAAATATTATAAAAATTAATAATAGGATCAATAAAAGATATATATATCTCTGAAAAAATTATTAAAGTATATGAAGATAAAGAAATTGATATATATTATTATGAGTGTAAATGATAATACAGATTTAAAATTGAATAGAGTAATTGCAAATATTACTAAGATATAAGAAAAAATACAAGATATAACATTAATACCAGATGGAATAAAAGTAAAAGAAAAACAGTTAATAAAATTAAAGTGTGAAAAATTAAGAATACAGAGTAAATGCTTTAAGATAATAAAAGAATAACTAGTAAATACAGATTTTGCTAAAGAAAGTTTTGAAAAAATAATAGAAGAAAAAGAAGATAAAAGATGTAAATTAACTTATATGTTAGAAAGATGATTAAGAAAAAATTAAGATGTCAATAAGTGAATATATGGAAGAATTAAAATCATTAATAAAAATGTTAATAAATGATGTCCAAGATTTAAGAAATGAAGTAAAAGAAACAAGAAATGATATAAATATATTAAAAATTGAAATTAGAGAATTAAAAGAAAATAATAAAAATAAAGAAAAAATAGATAAAAAATTTATAGAGAAAGAAATTATTAGAATAGGAAAGAAATATATTGAAAAATAAAATATAGTAATAGAAACAGAGAGTATGGATGATGAATTTAAAAGAAAACATATTACCTAAAATATTAGAAGAAGAAGAATTTAGAGAAAAATGTTAGGAAAATTAAGAATTGAAGAAAATAAAGATAAATGAGGAATTAGATTTACTTATAGAAAATTTTGATCAATAAAGTTTAAGTTATATAAGTAAATACCAAGTTTTAATGAATATTGGAAGATGACTTAATCTAATAGGAACTTCTAAACAAGAATTACAAGATTCAGATTAATGTTATGCACCTATATATAATAAACCATATAGATAATTTTATGATAAAGTAAGAGATAGACAACCACCTAAGGAAAATAAATATAGAGATAGATTTGAATTAAATGATAATTATGATAAAACTATTAATCATGGAGGAACAAAATTAGATTTAAATTGTAAAATAGATACTAAAAAAACATTATCAACTTAGACAGATTCAATGATATTATTCTTTTTATATAATAAAGATGACACATGAGAAAGTACTGAAAGAATGATAGATTTTTTAATAGCATACTTTGAAGGAGATGTTAGATTTTGGTGGGAATGAATAAGTGATGATACAAAAATATTAATAAAAAGAAATGTACAAACAAAAATAATAAAATCAGATAGATAAAGTATAGAAAAGTTAGTAAAATATATTTCAAATGAATTTTTAGGCGAAAATTAGATAAGAAATGCTGAAAGAAAAGCAATAAGAGAAAAATATAATGCTAGAATTAAATTAATAAAGTTAACAATATATGATATGTGTAAAATTAAATAATATACTTGTGAATTCAGAAATTATAATTATACTCAATTTTATAGTAATAAAAATCAAGAAATATACCAGGACATGTACTATAATAAGTTACTAGGTTCATGGGGAATATATTTTAAAATAGAATTTGTAAAATATGTCAACGATAATATTGGAATACCTAGAACTTTAAGTTAAAGAATAAAATTTTTATTTGAAAGACGTGCATATATATATCAACAAAGATAACTATTGAAAAAATTAGGAAAATTAAATAGGATCACTAAAACAAAACTATGATTTCGCGACAAGAATTTTTGCGACATATAAAAAGTTGTTGCAATAAATGACTTAATGCGACACATTTTTAAAGTTTGTCACAAAGATTGTGATGAAAAAAATATGTACCAAAAACTATAAGACGACATAAAAAGTTGTCGTGAAATGTGAGATGTTGCGACAAATAATAAAGAATGTCGTCGAAAATATGAGGAAAGCAAGGCGCCTAAATATTTTTGATGGGAAATTTATGGCGACAAACCTTTTTTCTTGCAACAAAATGCTTGTGATGCAATAGGGTCTCTTTTTGGCGATAACAAAAAAATTTGTTGCTAAAAATTCTATAGTTGGAGGAAAAAAGAGCTACAAGAAAATAACTTTTTTGCAACGGACAAAAAATATTGTAGTAGATTTTTTACAATGCTCACCCATATACGTAGAGTCTAATATTCTCGTAGAGTTGAAAGATACTGCAACATGCAATGCATGTCGTAAAAGCCATCAAATGTACGTTGTTGTAAAGTTTTTACGATGTATCTTATCCGTTGATTTTATTTTATTTTGTAACATTCTTTGTTTATTGTCTTAACTTTTTTTTCTAACATAATTTTTTTTTTTGTAATAAGTGTTTGTTTTTTTCGTCCGGCTAAATTTTATTGTGTAATACAAATTTTTAAAATTTTTAATTATTTTTTATCAAGAGCAAAATTTTTATAATAAAAGTTGTATAAATTTTTTTTAAAAATTTATTCCCAATAAAATTAAGAAAAATGCATTAGACGATTAAACTTTCAATCAAATAATAACTTACAAAAATAGAAATACTAGGTCGAACCAATCCATAAAAGAAAATAACTGTCTCAACAATTAAAGCAAATAAATAAATAAATCATAATTCATTTATTATCAGTAGGCGGTGGCATGCTAAACATTGTTGCTGGTTCAGCTTGTTGTGGAGACATGCCGACTGGATTCGATACGAACTGATGCATTAGCGCCTCAAAGTGAGAAATCTTGGCACGCATATTCAATAACTCTTGCTCCTGCTTTTGTATTTACTCTCGAAGGGCTATTGATTCAGTATCAACCGATGTCAAATGAGTAGAGTGGCTTGAGGCAGGTTTTGGACCATGTCCAAGTCCTCTAATGTAACCTCCAGATTTTCCTAAAACTTGCATAATCTCAAGTTCAGTGGGGGCCTCAGATCCCTCTAGAATAGGTTGCTCTTTAATTTGAAACATCTTCTCCTATATATAAGTAAAGAAAAAGAAGAGAGAATACATGTTAATAACATAATATATATAAAATGTCAATAACGACGAATAAATTCTTAATATACTTACATATTTTATTCGTGCTTCATCGTTTACCCACCCTTTCTTCTTATTGTAATGAGTCTCATAATAAAATTCTATTTCTCTTTATGCGTTGTCTTTAGTAATTGATCTCTATTTGAAATAATATATATCATGTTATACAAATATATTTGTCTTCATAAAACAAAAGAAAGTATTACCTTTTCTTGAAGACGTTCAACAAATGATTTTGATCCGCCACGATGATTATATTTAATGCAGTTGTGGCTTGCTAAATTACGTATAGATAATGCCTATAATCAATTTATATGTAAATATAATTAACTAATTATAATTTATCATTTTTAATTATATTAATTATTTTAAGATAACGTCTAAATTACATTATTCTTAATATTTACAAGTATATGCATTTTTAATAAATGTTACCTGAAATTCAGGGATAGACCAATATTGACACAACCAGTCCTAATCAACTTGCTTTATGTCAGTTGGGCAGTTCTTCATTGCATCATCTAATATTTTTCCATTGAAATATTTCTCTTTGAGTTTGCATCTATAATCACGATATCTTCTCGCTAAAGTATCGTTCACACATTTATGGACATGCTCAACTGTCAAATCGAGCTTGAATTTTGCCTACCAAAAAAGAAATGTGTATATTATTTATTTAAATATGGGAAACTAATAACTATTCTACAAAATTTTGTAAAAATGAATTTGTTTATGACTTACCAAAAATCGATCATACAATTTATTTTTCTCTTCATAGGGTATGTCGATCCACCTTTTGTAACAAAGTGGAGCAAAGGATCGAACGACGTAGCCACATTCACTAGCCAAACGTGCTTGCTGATTTCCAATAGCTCTTCCCAGTTTTTTAGAAATCTCCAACGGTATTTTTCCAGCTGTACTAACAATCTCATCAGTGCCCTTACCTCTTGTAGGACCACGTCCCTTCCTCTTCAAAGGATGAGAATCTATGAAATAAAATACTCAAAGGATGAGAATATATATACAAAAATGGAGATTCTGTCAATTAAATGTATACATTATGATGATTTTATATTATAAACATAAAGATAAATTATTACCGTTGGAATTGAGGATGGTCTTTTGTGTCAATGTGGTTGCTTGTGATGAATTAAGTTGAAGATGGGGCTGAGATAATGGGGCGGGAACCCGTAGAGGTTGAGGTAAAGGAGTAGGAGCATGAGCATTACTAGTCTTTGACAATGAGGAAGAGATATTAGCTTGACGAGTAGTATAGGTTAATGGACCATTGCATGATACCTTTGACGAGAAAACATGTGAAGGTGGCTCATAAGATATAGTAAAAACTCTATTTTTCTTGCCAATTCTTGTTCGAGAAGTCATTATCTACCAAAAAAGAGAGAGAGAGAGAGGTATCATTTTTAACCAAAACAATGGGTCCCCATTGACAAGCTCATTTAGCTAAAAGATCTGACTAACCCATAGATATCTTCAAGAATGGTGAAGAAATTATATTACACATCCTAAACATATTTCAACTACAAGCTGTACATGACATGATTAATGAACTAAAATTTGTTATAATATGGCCATTGATATATATATATAAAATCCTTTTATCGGGCACTTGGCCAAGCAAGTAGCTCTTCAAATTCTTAAATTTCAAAGTCAACATTTCTTTCTTTATTTCTCAAATGTGGTTCGTAAAACCACAAAATACAGTTTTTTCATATTAACTCAATTTATTTCAAACTATTTATTTCACAACTATTTTAACTCAAATTTTCATATTCGATTGGCAAATATGTATATAAAACCACAAAATACAACAATTGCTATCAGGTTCCTTATCATCTTAGCAAGGTCGAAATTTTCATAAGCTCAAATTCTCTTTTTCCAGCTTGAAACAACAACAGTCTAACGCCAATTCTATATTTTCCAAATATATCAAACTAATCGATTAGAATTTACGCATTATATCCTAACAGTGAACTTCATCATTCTAGTAAAAATCCAAATAATGCATTGAGGCCCTGATTCGTCCAACTAGATAAACCGAATGACGGATCAGATTCTCAGGGAATGGATCTAAAGTATATAAATCAATGAATTGCTGTAAAATATGGGATGAGAAAAAGGGATATAAACGTACCTCCGTCGTGAATAAGTATATCAGCAATCTTTGACAAATGACCAATAGAACTTTGAAATGAATCAACATGAAATCAAGAAATGCAAATACATTAGATTGAGAAACCAAAAAAAAATAATAATAATAAATAAATAAACACATAAAAAGAATCATTAGATTGGATCGTTCTTGAATGAAAATACCTACGCTATAGAGAACTAAAAAATGAGAATGTGGAGTAAAAAATGAGAAACACGTGTTATAAAGAGATAAAGATGTTGATAAAAAAGAGGGAACTAGAAATTTTCCCTCCAAATACAAGAGCCAAAATTGAAAACAAAATCTTGTAAACAATTAAATTTAGTTATTCTTAGGAAAAAGGAAAATTTATCTCCCCCAAAAAAGAAACAGAAATATTAAAAGATTATAACCATTTGGAGAAGAAAACCGTCATTAACTAAAATATATTGTTTCGTGCAAGAAAATGGTGAAGTTGTGCACAAAAAGTCAAAAACTTGTATTTTAAATAATTAAACATTAATGAATAATTTTGTTACATAAAAAGCCAAAAAATTTAATATATTAATAACTCAAGGACCGTCAATATTTTTTTTTAACCAAAAACCGTCAATAAATCAAGATAAATAATGCTACAATGAAAAAATAAATATATTTGATATTTGAATATTAATAAAAAAATGAGAATAATTATCATATTCCTTTTGTAAGACTTTACCATAAATGATAAGGTGATAAGATTGAAATTGAATTAGATAGGTATTCACTATATAAATAATTATCATATTCCTTTAAAATATACATGACCAGGTCAACAAATTAACTGTAGCATATTTAATTCTTAGCCATGACATAATTGTTAAATGCAACAAATCGCTTCCGCACAACAAAATGTAGTCGGAAACCTTACTTATTATAATGGTTTCAAAAATTAATTCCTGTGTAATCCGTTTGGCACAACTATTTATTTCACTAAATATTAATTAGTTTTTATGTGTTTGATGGCATATACATGTTACTCAAAATTCAAACTCAAGATCTTTATATACTCTTATATGACAAGTACTTGTTTCGTTTATAAATATAAATTAAATAATATTTAATTAAATTTTGCCTTCGAAGAAAACACGTTTAATATTTAAATGCAAAAGGATACTATGTGCTGAAAGAGTATATGTTCAAGCCCATTGAATCCGAATCTTTGTCATGTGCTGTCTTTGAGAGGCACTTTTGAGAGGCACAACTTACGTTTTCAATTTCTATTTGATGATCTAACCTTTAGTAATTTAAGGCCTATTAATTAGATCGGCTTAACTTAATTTTTATTTTTTTGACAAACGAACTTACAGCAATTGAAGGCCTATTTGTTAGGTCAGGTTAATTAAAAATTGTAGATCATGCTCGCTAAAGGTACACTCAAAATTATGGTACATGACAATTTGTAAACTCTTGATGCATGTTTGGAGGAACTTATTGCTTTTAATTGGTCAAATTATGTTTTTATCTTCATATTTTGTGTCTAATCGGGTGAAAGGGAAATGATATGTTCAACCAATTGAGTTTTCGTTTGCCTTGCTCTTCTTACATAGTTTATGAAATAGACGTCAATTAGTGGTCACGACATCGAGGAACTTGGAAAAAAAGGCCATATGTAGATAATGAATGACTATAACACTGAATTATTTGCGAGCGGCGATGTCTGCGTCCATAAGAAATTCCGAAGCCACTCATTATTAGTAATATAAACCCTTATAAATAATGGGGGTATTTCATTTTCTAATGATCGTTCATTAATAAATTTTCATGGGTTTGTTTTTTTATGTAGATCTGATCTACAAACTCAAACAAATATTCGCTCTCAAGGATTGATGCAAGAAATAATAACTTCTTTATTTTTTCAACAACCAAGGAAAAAAATTAACACAGGTTTTGGGGGGTTTAAGTACGAAAAGAATTAGGTAAACTATTGGGCCAGCAGCCCCTAAATGGGCTGGGCTACAACGTAAAAATAAGAAATATTAAAAAAAGATGAACTAATAAATATGAAATGTGGTTTTAACCCAACAAACGATCTCAAATGGCCAAAATCTCCCATACATCACGGCAAAGCAGTGAGTTCAATCCAAAACGGTCGCTACCTTTTCGAAAAGTACTTATGAGCCCAAAACGGACGCAGTTTGCAAAAGTTACGCTCAATTTTTCGAACGCTGACAATCCAAACGTTCCAAATATGCGAGTGCTTGTTCTTCCGTACAAACCTCATCAATTTTTCTTCATAATTTGGTGAACTGGATTGAAACATGTGAAAGTTTTTTCCCAAACCATTTCTTCCCTACTAATAACGTGTGCGTATCCATCTCTCTCAGTTACCGTATCGTTACCTCCCAACTCAATGTAAACCCTTCCTTTCTTTCCCACACCAGTCACAACCCACCATATGCAATTAAGCTGCCATCCCTGACCAACCTATAATCTCAAAATTCTTGAAATCTTTTAAGCCTTACATTTTTTAAGTCGCTTTTCTAAACGTCATCCACCATATAAGTTCAGGAGCCACCCACCGCCCATCAATCGACCATCGCCGCCCAATCCACACATAGGACTAAGGTGACTCATTCAAGTTATGTTGAGGTACACTTGTGGGAACCGGTCTCTTTTTCGATCTCCTACCCCACTCAAAGAAAAAAATTGAAAAAGAACTTGATCAGAAATAAATATTTTGTTTGATCCTTAATTATTTGTATTTTTTACTGATGTTAGGAGAAAAACCACCGTGATTGGAGCTATACATAAAGGAGGCCTTGAAATTGGGGATTAAAATGCATTATTTGAAAAAACTGAGGCCTTAAAAACAAACATTATTTTAAAGGTCATTGGACCAATTGGAATGAAATCAATTTGAATTGGACTTTTTTTTTATTATCAAAAATCGGCAGAAGGAAGACAAAAGACTCCTTTTGGAATAAGGGAAACTAGCTGTTTATTAGTCATTAGATAATTTGACTCATAGGGCAAAATTCATCCAGAGATTCAAACGCAGCTGTAGACGGGTAAACGGACGGACGGACGACATCTGGAGAAGAAGAACTATACAGTACGATTGGAGAAGAAAATCGTCCAGATTTTTGTGCAAAACTCCACCAGAGCAGTCAATTGCAGAGAAGGCGATTGCAGTTCTCTTCGTAGAAGGCAACTGTAGAGAAGGCGATTTTATCTACTGTTATCTGATCTATTTGATTAATGTAAGCCTACAATTTACGTATTTGATTGACTGATTTTGTACTCAATTATTTTAAGTCACGTATATGATGTAGAAACTCTAGGAATTTATGAGAATTGTATTGCCTTTTATTGAGAAGAGTACTTGTTTCATCGAAATCTTTAATCGGATAGGGTACATACATAAGTTCCATTAGCCTACAAGTTTTGACCCAATAATCTGTCTCGAACGTAAAGTGTGTGCTTAGCAACATGAACCTCTGTCAAGCTCTTCGATTAATAATTTTGTAAATCTGCATTTTCGGAAATTAATAACTGACTGCTGCATTGGGTGCCATGAACTCTGGATAAACGAGTTAATTGATTCAGTTTACTTTTTAGTATTCATTTCTCTTTAATCTGAGCATGAAAAATTGTGCTCAATTAGCAATTTGTACCTATTTTTGTTCTTTCTTTTGTAATTATTGCTTGCTATATTCTAAAATCTCATGGTTTTGCCTCAGTAATCTTGGAGATACGAACCTAAAGTTGGAGCCCTGTTGTGTTCTTTCTTTTGTAATTATTGTAGCTGCTATTTTTGGCACTTCCTATATATCTGTTTATTTTTTTCTTTCATATTTTCCTTTAGAAATAGGAGCCCTGTTGTGTGTACTACAATTGTAAAGGGATCCAATTTGTATTCTTGACTTCTCCATTGTTCGGTAAAAATGACAAGTGCACAACCAAGTAATCTTCTGAATTATTATCTGGTTTTTTAGTAATTGAGTTGTTGGAAGTCTGCATTTAATTATTAGTAATTTAGTTATTATTATCATGCTTATGGGTAGTTGTTAATTTGTATTACTAGAAGGTTGCATTTAATTTTTCATGCTTATGTGGAGTTGCTGATTTTAGTCAAGATTAGATGCTTATGGATACACCTACTAGACTACTATCATCTTGTCATTGCTGTTTACTTGCTATTTTTCTAAAAATTACTAACTACATATCGTCTTTGGTATGGTCTATATGAATGAAGTGATATACATGATGGATAGGAGTTGGATGCGACTTCGTAATAGATTAAGTGAAGAATATTTAGATGAATTAATTCATTTATGGAGGCAGCAAAACAATGTTTGGATGAGAATAATGAGGTTCGTTGTCCATGTCGAAATTGTCAAAATGCATTCTTTCAGTCGCTAGATGTGGTAGAATCTCACTTATACCACTTTGGAATCTCTTCAAGTTACGAGAGGTGGATTTTTCATGGAGAGAAACTTGAGAATGATATGGAGGGTATTGAAAGAAATATAACTGAATTGGACGAAGAAGAAAATGATGATGAGATGAATGATATGTTAGAAGATCTATGTGCTCCCATGTCATCTAAAGATAATCAAACTCAGGAGGGGGAAGAACGTGGCGGAAATCATAATATCTTACCTCAAATGCCTAATGAAGAGAGCAACCAGTTTGTGGAGATGATGACTGAAGCCCAATGAACTTTGTTTCCTAGTTCTGGAATGTCATTATTGAACTTTATGGTGAAGTTGATGCACATAAAAGTTCTAAATCAGTGGAGTAACAAATCTTTTAACATGTTGTTGGAATTTCTAAAAAAACATTTTTTCAGAAGATATTGGATTATCAACTTCAACATATGATGCCAAGAATATGATAAGTGAATTGGGATTAGGTTACGAGACTATTCATGCATGCAAGTCTGATTGTGTATTATTTTGGAAAGAGCATGAATTTGCCACTAGGTGCCCAGAATGTGATGAACCACGATACAAAACCAATTTTGGCAAGGGAAAGAAGGTGCCTCAAAAAGTATTGAGATATTTTCCATTGAAAAAAAGATTACAAAGATTATTCATATCTAGACATACTGCTAAAGATATGAGATGGCATGCAGAAGGCCGAGTTGAGGTAGAAGGTATTTTAAGACATCCAGATGATGGTGAGGCGTGGAAAGAATTTGACAAGCTATACCCAAAATTTATGCAAGATCCTCGCAATGTTAGGTTAGGTCTTGCACGGATGGCTTCAATCCATTTGGAAACATGCGTA